GTGGCCCACATGGGGGTCCCCTGTTCTGTCACCCCTCAGCTGCCCCATATTGGGGTCCCCTGTCCTGTCACCCCACAGCTGGGTGTCCCACATGGGGGTCCCCTGTCCCATCATCCCATACCTGCCCCATATCAGGGTCCCTTGTCCCATCACCCCACACCAGCCCTCTACAACTGCCCCGTATTGGGATGCCCCATCCCATCACCCCACAACTGCCCCATACTGGGGTCCCCCATCCCCTCACCCCACTCCAGCCCTCTACAACTGCCCCAAATTGGGGTCCCTCATCCCCATATTGGGGTCCTGTGCCCTGTCACCCCACACCAGGCTGTCCCACGTCAGGGTCCCTACACCCCATCTCCCCACACTAGCCTGCTTTGCCCCATTTTGGGGTCCCCGTGTCCTGTCACCCCACACCAGCCCTCTACCACTGCCCTATATTGGGTTCCCCATCCCATCACCCCACACCAGTCCTCTACCACTGCCCCATATTGGGGTTCATCATCCCCATATTGGGGTCCCCCATCCCATCACCCCACACCAACCTGCTCTGAGTGTCCCACCTTGGGGTCCCCCATCCCATCACCCCACACCATCCTGCTCTGCCCCATATTGGGGTCGCTTGTCCTGTCACCCCACACCAGCCCCACAGGGGGTCCCGGTGTCACCCCACGTCTCTCCCCGTCCCAGCGACTCTGGGGACCGCAAGCAGATCTACAACATCCTGACGGCGTTCGAGCTGCGGCCGTCGGGGCCGGACTGCGACATCGTGCGCATGGTGTGCGAGAGCGTCTCCACGCGCGCGGCGCAGATGTGCTCGGCCGGCCTGGCCGGCGTCATCAACCGCATGCGCGAGAGCCGCAGCCAGGACACGCTCAAGATCACCGTTGGCGTCGACGGCTCCGTCTACAAGCTCCATCCCAGGTGGGGATCCCCGGGAGCCTTCCTCCCGCCACCTCCCCCTTCCTCCTCCGTCCCCTTCCTCTTCATCCATCCCCTTCCTCCTCTTCCACCATCCCTTTTCTCTTCCTCCTCCATCCCTTTCCTCCTCTTCCTTCATCCCCTTCCTCTTCCTCCTCTGTCCCTTCTTCTTCCTTCTCCGTCCCCTTCCCCTTCGTCTTCTTCCTCCATCCCTTTCCTCCTCTTCCTTCATCATCCCTTTCCTCCTCTTCCTCCATCTCCTTCCTCCTCTTCCTCCATCTCCTCTGTCCTCTTCCTCCTCCATCCCCTTCCCCTTCCTCCTCCATCCCCTTCCTCCTCCATCCCCTTCCTCCTTCCTCTGTCCTCTTCCTCCTCTCCGTCCCCGTCCTCTTCCTCCTCCGTCCCCATCCTCTTCCTCCTCCATCCCCTTCTTCCTCTTCCTCCATCCCTTTCCTCCTCTTCCTCCATCCCCTTCCTCCTCCATCCCATCCTCTTCCTCCACCACCCCTTCCTCTTCCTCCTCCATCCCTTTCCTCCTCTTCCTTCTCCATCCCTTTCCTCCTCTTCCTCCTCCCTCCCTTTCCTCT